TCCTACCCCTTTCATGGTACCTCTCCATCCACCCCTACCCACCCCCATCGGTAGCCCCCTTCCCCACCACCCCATACCCTCCCTCAATCCTTTTCCCTTCCCCTCGCCCCCCCTCCCCTCGCTCGTCCCCACCCCCGTCACCCCACCCCCACCCCTCCCCCACCCCACCCCTCGTCCCCCCCCACCCTCGTCCCCACCCCCACCCATCGTCATGCAAGCGGCCTGGGAACACGGCTTGCTGCACAGGATTGCACGATCTGAGGATACGCTGGGATTCCTTCAGTGATTCGTTCGTTGCAAGAGGCTAATCAGAGGCGAATTTTCCGCATCCTGTTCGTCTCTTTTTTTTGTCCGCTTTTCTTCCCTTTCCTTGTTTCTTTCTTTCTTCCACTTCCATCTTTGCATTCCCATTCTCCTTCAGTCCATCTTCCTCTCTATTTTCTTCTCCGCCCCCTTTCTCCTTCTCCCTCTCCTCCTCCTCCTCCCTCTCCTCCCTCCCTCCTCCCTCCTCCCTCCCTCCCTCCCTCCCTCCTTCCTTCCTTCCTTCCTTCCTTCTTCCTTCCTTCCTTCCTTCCCTCCCCCTCCCTCTCTTTTCTCCCTCTCACCCACACCTCGCGGGCAGCACGACCTCCCATTCTGCAATCAGCGGCCTGCAATCCCCGTCCAAGCAGGCCATTCAGCGACCGAAACCCTGACCTGCATTAAAAGTCTGCAACGTGACACGGGTTGCATTGTGGCGCTCGCTAAGTCCGGTTCGGAACAAGGATTTTTGCTGCTGAGGTTATGGAGATTTTGTTGTTGTTGTTGTTGTTGCTTTTGTTTTTTGTTTTTTTCTCTCTTTTTTTTCCCTTTGTCTTTTCTGTCTATTTAAATACTTGTTTTTGTTTCCTTGTTTCATTGTTCTTGTGTGTGTGTGTGTGTGTGTGTGTGTGGTGTGTGTGTGTGTGTGTGTGTGTGTGTGTGTGTGTGTGTGTGTGTGTGTGTGTGTGTGTGTGTGTGTGTGTGTGTGAGTGTGTGAGTGTGTGAGTGTGTGAGTGTGTGAGTGTGAGTGTGTGAGTGTGTGAGTGTGTGAGTGTGTGTATGCGTGTGCATGTGCATGTGCGTTTTCGTGTGCATGTGCGTGTGCGTGTGCGTGTGCGTGTGCATGTGCGTGTTTTTCCCCGTTTCCGTCCCCCTCAGCCATTCGCTATACGGTATATCAATTACTCCTGATCAACATAATCACAAATTATACATTTTCAACCTGACCTACATGCTGACCCGCCCCTCTTGCAACCCACGTGTGCAACAGCAACTGCTCCTCCCCCCCCCTCCCTACTTCCTTGACCTGTCTTACCTTAACTATCTCAACCACCCCTTTTAGCTGCTCTGTCTACCTGTCTACCATATGTTATCCACCTTGTCTATCTTGTCTACTTGTTAACATGTCTACCACAGCCCTGTCTACCTGTATACCACAAACGCTATCCGTTCTGTGTCTGTCTACTTGTCTACCAGAAACGCTGTCTGTTTCGTCTACTTGTCACCTTAACTACCACTACTCTGCCACAAAATCCGCACCGTCTGTCTGTCTACCTGTCAATCACTACTATCTACCAACCACGCAAAACTACATCTCGTTCTACACCTCCACAACCGTTCTCTCTACCACACATACATATTTCTACTCTCTACCACTTCTTCTTCTCCTCCTCCTTCTCTACCACACCCACCTCTACCATTTTCATCAACTACCCTTCTCCCTACAACCAAAATCTACCGATCTACCCATCTACCCCCGCCGCCTTTCTACCATTCTCGTCTACCACCATTTCTAAAGCCCTATCCAACCCCTTTTCTCTCTCTACTACACCCACCTCTACCTTTCTCATCTACTCCTCTTCTTACAACCAAAATCTACAGATCTACCCATCTACCCTCGTCGCCCTTCTACCATTCTCATCTACCACCATTTCTAAAGCCCTACCCACCCCCTTTTCTCTCTCTACTACAGCCATCTCTACCATTCTCATCTACTCCTCTTCTTACAACCAAAAATTACAGATCTACCTTTTCCTCTCCTCTCCCATTCTACCATTTACCATTTCCTCTCTGTCCTTCTACCATTCTCATTTACCACCAACTCTCCCTATTACCAAAATCCACCGATCTACCCAAGGAATGCATAATCATTAAATCATCGAAAAAGAATTCAAGAAAAAAAAAGAAATAAAACAAATATTTAATATTTCCAATGATTACAGCTGACGGGGCGGGGCTTAGCACAGAAGTTGCCAACGAGTATTTTCATCAAGGTGGAGTGCTCATACCCATGTACAGGTACCATGGATCTACTCATCTACCCTCTCCGCCCTTCTACCATTCTCATCTACCATTCTTATCCTTTAATTCTTACTGAAGGCCTTAAGGTAAGAGTTCCGAGGTCAGCAAGTGGTCCTAGATAGACGTTCTTGCTCCGTCTGGGGAGGATCGCTCGACCAGTTGGCCTTTGTGTGCGTGTGTGTGTGTGTGTGTGTCTGTGTGTGTGTGTGTGTGTGTGTGTGTGTGTGTGTGTGTGTGTGTGTGTGTGTGTGTGTGTGTGTGTGTGTGTGTGTGTGTGTGTGTGTGTGTGTGTGTGTGTGTGTGTGTGTGTGTGTGTGTGTGTGTGTGTGTGTGTGTGTGTGTATGTGTGTGTGTATGTGTGTGTGTGTGTGTGTGTGTGTGTGTGTGTGTGTGTGCGTGCGTGCGTGCGTGCGTGCGTGCGTGCGTGTGTGCGTGTGTGTGTCAATCAATCAAACAAACAATCAATCAGTCAATCTATCTCTATCAATCTGTCTATCAATCTATCTGTCTGTCTGTCTGTCTGTCTGTCTGTCTGTCTGTCTGTCTATCTATCTACCTACCAATCTGTCTCTCAATCTATCTCTACATACATATCCGCACCCCCCCGCGCCCCGTGCACACACGCCAAACCCAACCCCAAAACAGCACCCACCCAATTCCTGCGCTCACTCACCAACCGTGCACAGCATAGTACCAGCATTACGCCCCCCCCCTCCCCCCCCCCCCCCGCCATGCAACGAGGCACCTGGAGGCTCGTCGGCTGGAGGGAAGGGTGGGTGGGGGGGGGGGGGGGGGGGGCGCTGGTCTACTTTGGGGCTACGTTTAAAAGCCACAGAGGTCGCTGACTGCTATCGCTAGTTACGGCTACTAAGTACTGTTGCTCCCTTTGTTAAAATTGACCGTCTTCATTATATCCTGATATTGCAATCGTGACTATATGTATTAACGTGACTTCATTGCTATTGCTACAATTTTTATTATTAGACTACTACTGCTACGATTTAGTCCATAACGTTACTATTGTTGCTACTTTAAATACCACCAATAATATAATAATATAATAATCATTGTTGCTATTTTAAATACCGCCAGTAAACGGCAACTACCAGTAATTAGTACTACTTCTAATACTGTTACTACTACTACTTCTACTTATACAACTAGTATCACTGCTATTACTACTACCACTTCTATTACTACTACAACTACAACAACTTTTATCATTATCATCATAATCATTAATCACTTCTTTTATAACCTGAAACACGAACATAACTTTCCTTGTAAGTAATAATCAACACCAATTAATAACTGCAATCCAAAGAAAACAGAAAAGAAACAAACATCATCATCAACAACAACAAAATTCACAAACATTAAAAAAACAAACACACACACATACAAACAGCAAAACAGGTCGCTGGGATGTGGCTATTTTCGCAAGGGCGGGTGGGGGGGGGGGTTTCCTTGAACTACGCCTCTGGATGTAATACGCACTTGACCTCACGCAGGGAG